AATTAACAACACGTGTACTAGATGGGCAACAATGAGACAACCGCAAAACAGGAATGGTTTTATAGGTGGAGGCTGCTGACATTTTTTTCCTACTCCATCTTTTCTGACTGTTTTTCACTAGTTTGGCATTTGGCTAGGTTCATTGTCACTACTGGTAGCATGAGGCGATACCTGGACCCTACAAAGGTTGAACAGGAAGTTCAACTCCTCCAGGATGGCACTGGAAGTCCAACTCCTCCAGGATGCTTCATTGTCTCTACTGGTAGCATGAGGCGATATCTGGACCCTACAGAGGTTGAACAGGAAGTCCAACTCCTCCAGGACGGCACAACAATACGTACCATTGCCAGAAGGTTTGCTGTGTGTCCCAGCACAGTCTCAAGACCAAGGAGGAGATTCCAGGAGACAGGCAGTTACTCTAGGAGAGGTGGATAGGGCTGTCGAAGGCCCTTAACCCATCAACAGGACCAGTATCTGCTCCTTTGTGCAAGGAGGAACAGGATAAGCAGTGCCAGAGCCCTACAAAATGACTTCCAGCAGGCCACTGGTGTGAATATCTCTGATCAAACAAACAGAAACAGACTTTATGAAGGTGGGCTGAGGGGCTGATGTCCTCGTGTGGGCCCTGTGCTCACTGCCCAGCACCATAGAGCTTGATTGGCATTTGCCATTGAACACCAGAACTGGCAGGTCCACCACTGGGGCCTGTGATTTTCCGGGGAGGCATATCCATGGAGGGATGCACAGACCTCTACAGGCTAGACAATGGCACCCTGACTGCCATTAGGTATTGGGATGAAATCATTGGACCCATTGTCAGACCCTATGCTGGTGCAGTGGGTCCTGGGTTCCTCCTGGTGCACAACAATGCCCTGCCTCATGTGCAGAGAGTATGCAGGCAGTTCCTGGAGGATGAAGGAATTGGTATCATTGAGTGGTCCACACGCTCACCTGACCTAAATCCAATGGAACACCTCTGGGATATCATGTTTCGGTCCATCCACTGCCGCCAGGTTGCACCTCAGACTGTCCAGGAGCTCAGTGATGCCCTGGTCCAGATCTGGAAGGAAGTACCATTTTGAGTTGCTGCAATGAAATGCTGGTCCTGGGTTCCTCCTGGTGCACGACAATGCCCGGCCTCATGTGGCGAGAGTATGCAGGCAGTTCCTGGAGGATGAAGGAATTAATACCATTGAATGACCCCCACACTTGCCTGACCTAAATCCAATAAAGCACCTCTGGGATATCATGTTTTGGTCCATCTGACACCAGCAGGCTGCACCTCAAACTGTCCAGGAGCTCAGTGATGCCCTGGTCCAGATCTGGGAGGAAATACCCCAGGACACTATCTGCCGTCTCATTAGGAGCATTCCCCAACATTGTCAGGCATGCATACAAGCACATGGGGGCCTTATAAACTATTGAGTACCATTTTGAGTTGCCTCAATGAAATTTAAGCATAATGGACTAGCCTGCTGCATAATTTTTTCACTTTGATTTTTGGAGTGTCTTTGAATTCAGTCCTCTGTACAGGGGCGGACTGACCATTTGGAAACTCAGGCACTGCCTGAGAACCCAGGGTCAGTAGGGGGCCCCATGAGATGCCCCTGGTCCCTTTTTCATAGGCTTTTTTGAGTTTTGGCAAGGACAAAGGGGCCCCATGATCCCCTATTGCCCTTGGGCCCCATGAGTTGTCAGTCCACCCCTGCCTCTGTAGGTTCATAATTTTCATTTCCATCAAACGATGGGGCATCCTTACGTTCCTAACAAATTACCCAGTCCATATCAGTATGGATATACAGCATGGTATTTTTCCCCATTGAGATCTGATGTGTTTTCAAAGTGTTCCTTTAATTTGTTTGAACTGTGTAAATCAATTTCAGTGATGACTTCATGGTGTTTTTCAGGGCATATTTCCTAATGCATGTTGAGTAACAACAGTGAACCATACTTGTGATAATGCCCACTTGAAGGCTCTATTAGAAGCCCAACACATGAGTACAATCAGGAGAAAGGGTCAGAGTGCTGAAAGTGGCTTTTGAAATGATGTTAACATGTTAAAGTAGTTGTGAAGGCTTTTTAAAAAAAATAAATAAAAAACATAAATTAAATAGCGGTTTATACTTACCTGCTCTGTGCAATGTGCAGTGATATTACACAGAGCAGTCACTTACCTCATCGTCCGGAGTTCCCCACCAGTGTTGTCCACTACTCCTCTTGTGTGTGCAAACAGCTTGCTATGGGGGCACACGTTACGGGGAACTCCTGAGCCAGACTGTGTGCACCCTTAGACACACACAATGTGGCTCAGCCCTGCCCCCACTCCCTCTTGACAGACTTTGATTGACAGCAGCAGAAGCCAATGGCTCTCAATCTGTCCTATGAGAAAAGGAAGAGTGGCCAGCATTGCTGCAAATGGGCACAGCTCTGGATCGAGAGAGGGCTCAGGTAGTGTTAGGAACGGAGGAAAGGAACAGGTCAGAAGCGTCCCTAGGGTTGGTGTCACCCTGTGCGGTAACAATTGGTGACACACCCTTCAACAATCCCCGCAGAATGGATCAGATCTGCGGATTGAGCATAATGGATCGGACTCCGATCCATTATACTCAATCCGCAGATCCGATCCATCCTGAGGGGATCGTCGGCTTTCTTTACAACTCACAACCCTTTTCTTGGAGCGGGTCCAGGTGTAGCGACAAGATGTGTCTCCCATGTAGATATGTCCCCCCTGAAGCAACTGCGCATGTCCCGGTTTCAGGCACAATCAATTGATGATAGATCCAATCCATCCTGCAGGGATCGTCAGTTTGCTTTACAACTTACCTTTTTGTGGAGCGGGTCCCGTGTCACCCTGTGCGGGCGGTGTCACCCCGTGCGGACTGCACTCCCTGCACCTGCCTCGGGACGCCACTGGAACAGGTAGTAGTATATTCTTACCCTAATGCAGGGAATGCATTAAGATGAAAAAAGATTTAACTTTATAACCGCTTTAAAATTTAGGATTTTAGACATTTGGTTTATTTAAGTGTCATTAAACCCAAATCATTATAAACTGTCAATACATGTTATATTATATTGTGTTCATATGTACTTTGCCACTAGAGAATTCATTTTCTGTAGAGTGCAAAAAACCTGGTTGACCCTGTTGTTTACTGTCCCTCCCTCCTTGTCCATGTCCCCACTGCAGCATGAGATTATGTAGAACAACAGCTGACACATCTACGGAGCATGCTCTTGTTTGAGTTCCCTTTTTCTTATCTGTGCAGCCCACATCAGGAACCCATAGATCTTGACCTACTAGTAGATCGAAGCCAGGTGACTGGTAGATCGAGGTCTGGACTTGATGACCCATCATCCTAGAACATCAAACAGAGTGCAATGCAGAGGGACTACTTGTAAAGTTGGAGCTGTAGTAGGGAGCAAGAACCACATAAGCATATGCCTCCTCTGTAATTCTGTCTCCATGTGGAGTGATACCAACTTCACTTCACCTCTAACCTGGCTGGCGGTCTCCAGAGTGGTGCCAGCAGCAGGAAAGAAGAGATTTTCAGGTCAGTGTGAAGCAATACACCAGTTATAAGTATAGGGCTGCTTTCACACTGATGTGCTGCGTGTTTACCCACACCACGGGTGCAATGTAGTTTACCTGCAGCTTTCCTATGGGTTTGCGGCACTTAGTCATAGACTTCTATTATATCCTGGGAGTCTGGTGCACTTTCTGAAAGTGCACTAAAACTACTGAATGCAGGAGGTTTGGTGAGCTTTCAGAAAGTGTACCACACCTGCAGGATATAATAGACGTCTAAGCACAGCAAACCCAGGAAAGTCACAGATGCACTGTGCTGCAACCGCGGTCCAGGTAAACCACTGCACATGTGAAATCAGTCTTATAACGGTCTTAGAACAGCAAGGGTTCATTTCCATTTGCAGTTTTGGGGGTGGTAAAACACCATAGTTAAGATATGTTTTTACCACCCCAACTGCACCAACTTTAGTTGCAGTGGCCAGGGATGTACACATGTCGCAGCAGCAGCAGGAGTTATATGCCCTGTCATGGTTGGTGGGTGTAGCACCTGCCAAGCATGACCTATTCACGTGAGGCACTCTGCAACCCTGTGCAGTACATCAAACAGGGGGTTAAAGCAGGCAGCATTGTGCTGCTTTCTCACCACCTGCTTTAACCCCTTGGACCCCACAGAAGCATGAAGTTGTGGGGTGCTATCAGAGTGGCCCCATTTACTTGAATGGGTTGCAATTAGTAGGTGATAACACCAACCAAAAGCAACAGAGGGTTTAATTCCTGCTGCAGCATGTTCACACTTTTGGCTGCTGCCTTAGCAGCTAAAGGGGGTAGAGACTGGGGGCAGTAAAACCGTAATTAAATCACAGGGTTTTACCATCCCCCAACCTTATGTGTGAACAAGCCCTAAGGGTGCCGCTGCTGAGGGCTCATTCACAAGTGCAGCAGGGCGATTGCTACACAGTAGTATGGAAATTAAAAGTTTAACCACTTGTTGACCACGCTATAGCCGAAGGACAGCTACAGCACGGTTGTCCAGTTCATATGGTGCCCTCCCAGAACCACACCCACTGTGCACCTCCAGCGGTGCACACCCAGCGCTCTCTTTGGTCGCTGTGTCCTTTGGACACAGCTGATCACATGACAAGGTAAAGGGTCAATCACAGCAGCCTTTTATCATGTGATCAGCTGTGTCCAATCACAGCTGATCACACTGTAAACACACTTGCCAGTTATCTGCAGCACTTTCCTCACACTGTCACAGAGTGAGGAAAGTACTAACCAGCAAGTGTTAAAGGAGTCATCTACATTGATAATCAGGGCACTGATTATCAGTGCAGCCCCAAAAGTGCCCAGCAGTGCTGCTAATCTGTGCCTGTCAGTGCTGCCAATCTGTGCCCATAAGTACTGCCAGTCAGTGCCAACTATCAGTGCTGCCTATCAGTGCCACCAGTCAGTGCTGCCTGTCAGTGCCCTCCAGTGCTGCCTATTAGTGTCCATCATTACCACCTATCAGTGCCATCAGTCCTGCATATCAGTGCAGCCTCATCAGTGCCTCATCAATGTCCACCAATGCTGCCTCATCTGTGCCACCTCATCAGTGCAGCATATCATTGCCCATCAGTGCAGCCTCATCAACACACATCAGTGAAGGAGAAAAATTAGCTGTTTGCAAAAGTTAATAATAGAAACTAAGAAAAATGTTTGTAGTGTTTAGTAATACATGTTTTCCTAGTTTCTGTTTTAAAATTTGCAAATAAACCATCTTTCTTCATGAATTTAGGCCAAAATGTATTCTGCTACATTTCTTTGGTAAAAATAATCCAAATCAGTGTATTTTATTTAGTCTTTTTGTGTGAAAATGATAGAGTCTACAATATATATATGTGTATATATATATATATATATATATATATATATATATATATTTTGAAAAGTGATCAATACTGATCTATTGATGGCCTATATAATTTTTGAGGCCATAAAATGCCAGGACAGCACAAGGACCCCCAAATGATCCCTGTTTGGAAAGTAGACAGTCTGAGGTATTTAGTTGTAATTTTCTTGTCACAATTTTTTGGAAAATGAAGAGGTTTTTTTTTACATACTGTCACCAGAGCAGTGTGACGTCACCAACTAGTTGGTGTGGTGGCAATCAGGAACACTTACTGGTGACAGTGTGTAAAAAAATATTTTTTTTCAAAAAAGTTTAACTTTTGTTATTTTTTTTAACAATTTTGTCTCTTTTTTTTTTTTTCATGTGACCAGAGCAGTATAGTGGCATCTTAATGACACTGTACTACTCTGTGAAGGTGATCAGGATGATTGCTTTTTACAGTAATAATCACTGTATATAAGCAATCTTTTTTTATGAATGACATCCATTCATTGCCATTGTGGACTATTGTGATAGCCATAATTGGCCACAGCTATCACGTGGTACAGGTCCGCTGTGATTGTTCCCCATACCATGTGATTATTGTGACCAATAACATAGATTCCAATAGTACACACAATGACTATGAATTAAAGCCATTGTTGACAACTGAGATGTGATAGCTGTGATTGTTCACAGAGATCACATGGCTCAGGGTCTTGAACAGTGATCCATCCGGTGGACACAGTGGGCCACAAACCATGCTGCTGCACGCCCACTAGAGTGCTAATGAGGTACGAGTGGGAGGATTTCATATGATGTTCTCCCAGGATAACAGTGCTCCCGCCCAGCCATTTTATTACAATAGGCTAGACAGGAGGTAGTTAAATAAGGTACTTAGATTATTTATTTCAGATACTTATATAGCGCCATCAATTTACGCAGCACTTTATATATATATTGTACATTCACATCGGTCCCTAACCCTCAAGGGGTGTACAATCTAAGGTCCCTAACTTACATTCATACACATACTAGGGCCAATATAGACAGGAGCCAATTAACCTACCAGCATGTCTTTGGAGTGTGGGAGGAAACCCACGCAGGCACAGGGAGAACATGCAAACTCCAGGCAGGTGGTGCCATGGTTGGGATTTGAACCGGCGACCCTAGTACTGCCAGGTGGAAGTGCTAACCACTTAGCCACTGTGCTGCCCACACTGCTTTTTATACATTAAAATAAGTACAGTGGCATGATATTTTACATAATTAGAAGGGATAATGGCAATTAAACATGGTATGTTTAGTATCTCTCTAATTATGTTATAGTACTGGGCTGTACAAGTCCAGGGATGCAAGAATCTGCCAACATTAAAAAAATATTTAAAAAATTTAAACATAAATAAATAAACAAATAAATAAATAAAGTATTGCTCTAGTCACAGAATTGTCAGCTTATCCTACCAGTTCCAAAAAAAACTAAAAATATGGCTGCTGCCAGCCCTCCCTTTTACAGAAAGAAGGCTGTGTTATCCATTCCTTCAAATTAAAGGCTGACCAGGAGCAAAGGCTATGCCTTTTTTTGAAAGTTGTACCCTAAATCTTGACAGTGAACCCACAAAGTTTTAAGGTAGAAGTTTACAATTAATGAGCCTGGCAAATGACAGGAATGAACTTCAAACACATGATAGCTGCACACCTGAACCTCATTCATAGTGGGTGCACGCACCTAAAACTCCCAAGCACTGGAGTAGGGAACTGTAGCAGAGATCTCTCACTGTTGGAGTATCCAGGATATAGACTCATATGTGACCACTGATACTTGTCAGAGCATTGTTGGATTTATGCCTCTGACTTTTTTAGCAAAATGATAATACATTCTGTCTCGGAACTCTACTACTCATATGAAATTGAATTGTACCTAGAGAAGAAAGTTATTTCTGACATTAAACAATTTCCTCCAGCAACTGTTAGCTTATGCACTTAATTGGTCTTATAAAACTGCAGTCAAGCAACATTGCCATCATAAATTTAATGACAGAGGACATACAGCAGGGCTCGACGGTACAATTTATAGAACAATTTAAAGCCATCACTGGAAGAGATCTATTTTTACATTGCACTTTGTCATATCACTGCAGAAAAAAAATACTATCTTTCCTTACTCAGTATTGTCAGCTATTCCTCCCTGACAGCTCCAACACAAACTGACAATATGGATGGTGTGAACCCACCCTTTTATAGAAAGGAGTCTGGGTTATTCATTCATTCAAATTATTGGCTGTTGGGACTAAGGAAATTATATACACTGCATTATGGGTGTTCCTTGTTTCTTTCTGCAAACCTGGGAAAATTTTGACCAAAACATTCAAGATTCACGAATCCCTGGGTCTTGCCACAACCCATACTTCACCCCTATGGATGAACATTCCTGAAATAAATGAAGACACTGTATGTGTGCAATTGTGATACAAATGGTCTCTTGATAGACTATGACAGCAATGGTGAACCTATGGCATGTGTGCCACAGCTGGCACACAGGGCCCTCCCTGTGTGTACTCGAGCAGATCGCTACCCCCCAGCAGCCATCGCCAATGCACACGTTGAAACCAATTCGCAGCTCGTCCAGTGATGTCATTGCACCTGACACCTGGCTCCTGAGCGTTCCAGCACTCTCTTCTGGATCCTTCACCCACACAGCCGGCTTCCAGACTCATGAGGATTTCTTACCTCAGCACAGAACGCCTTCTTGTTCCACAGGACGTTGGACTATGGCAATGCCTATATCTGTCTACAAAAATGAAAGTTGCTCTCGTACAAACTTGTATATAGCCATATTTTGAGAACATTTGCAGACATACTGAATCTTATATGGGTGGGGTTAGTAAATCATTTTTCTTATTTTTGTGTTTTTCTAGACTCCAAGGGGTTTATTTACTAAAGCTGGAGAGTCCAAAATCAGACTCCCTTCTGCATAGAAACCAATCAGCTTCCAGGTTTCATTGCCAAAGCTTCATTGAACAAGCTGAGGTTAGAAGCTGATTGGTTTCTATGCAGAAGGGAGTCTGATTTTGGACTCTCCAGCTTTAGTAAATAAACCCCCAAGAGTTGAACATCAAAAGATGAGCCCAGCAAAAAAAAAAAAAAAAAGCAAAACTGAAAACAGATATTGGAAGATCATTCCAAGAGGCCTGGACAGAGTCATTTGGAAAATGTAGAAATTTAGAAATTATGTTTTTTTTTTTTATGAAAAAAAACTTTTTGTATCCTTGAAAGCTCTTTTATTGTGTTTTTTCTTTTAAGACAAAGATGTTAATTAGGAAATAAATAAGTTGGTTTTGTGTTGCAGTTTGGGAACTCGGCTCAGAAAGGTTCACCATCACTGGACTATGACTATATAATACATAGGCTACAATGTAACAGAAAGTAAAGCCTCATCACACATATAGTCTACAGTCTCTGGAATTCTGACTTCTCATGCTTGCCAATGTCCTCCATGGTCAACTATAACTTATATTCTTAGAAATTGTGTGTCAGGGCTTAGAAATATATATATATATATTTGGCTCTTTTCTGTAGAAAGTCAGCTATATCTAACATGATATATTTTGAGACTATTTCAAACCAATATCAACCAGTTAACAATCACTGAATTCACAGATTGATTCAAAATTGTTGGTGTAAATTTGCATTGATATGTTCAAATATTTGTAATAGAAAGTTGATTGAGCATGATTGATATTTCCTGAAAATTGCTTGTATTTAAAGCAGCATGCGGTATGAAATCATATGTTAAAGTGGTAGTAAATTCTGCTTTTTCTATTGTACCTACAGGTAAGCCAATAATAAGGGTTAGCTGTAGGTACAGTGAATTTCTCATAAATGTGCACAGTTTAGGAAATATCCAGATGTGTAGCAGCTGGTCATGTTACCGAAGCATGCACACTGCGCCCTGAATGGATGGCACACTTAAGTGTTCCATCCATTAAGATTTGCTATTCCAATGGTTGGAGCCCATGAATCTTGGAGAATGACTTGATAAAGATGGAATCCCTGTCAGCTGTGATAGTGCGGTGCTGGAGGGGTCCATTTTATAGGTAAGTCTGTCATAATGTGCTAATATGCAGTGCATACTAGCGTATTATGACATTGAACTGCAGGGGGACAGTTGTTTTTTTTTAAGTTTACTACCATTTTAATACTGCATGTGACTGCAGCTTAAATGAAATACTCGTGGTTTGACGTCCTAAAAGGAAAGGATAGTGCATGTATGTTACAAGATCACTTATCACTTACCAAAAAAAGAATAATAATCACTTAAAAAAAAAAAGAATAACTTTTTTGCAGGTAAAAATGTATATATATTTATTTTTTTTCCCTAGGAAGCTTCAGAGCAATGCACCTGCAATCAGTAGGCTCCTTCCTCCCATATGGGCAGACAGTTACTGAAGTCCAGGAAAATTCAATGAACTACGATCACCAGTGCTCTTCATGTTCCTCTCCTGTAGTACAGTTAGCTAGGAGGTCAGTGTCACAGCAGTTTTATATTTTTTTGTTAATCTAAGAATTTCAAAAACTTTCTGCCAGATATCCCTTGCAGAAATGAATGGATGATTATAACATTACATATTTAATTATACATACTTCTGATAGTGGTAGCAGGTCAATATTTTTAATACAAA